ACCGCAACATTCGCGATTCGGTTCCCATTTTCCCTGATCTTTATTAAGCCCTCTGTAGGCCGAGCTAGGCAGGTCGTGCATCTCATAGAAGGTGTTGCCACTGCCGAGAGGTCGCGCCATTCTACTGGTAAGGCACCCCTTTTCGTTTGCATGCACTTCTTCGTTGGTTTTTGACTACTGAAGTTGCTTCGTTTATTTCTATGTTAAAGTGGGCATCCGCACAGTCTATAATTTACACGTTATCGGTATTCAGTGTACGATTGCTTTTTTTTCACCTATATTATAAAATTTCAGTTGTTGTTTTTCGTTTTCGCTTTCATCACTCGCAGATACAAAGGACATGACTTCGCATATTGACGCTTTTTGTTAGATAATTTATTTTCGTTGTTTTTATCGGCTCGTCTCAATCTCATCGACTGTGGAGTGAGAATAACAAGCCTTTGCCACCCCCCCCCCCCCCCCCCGTTTTTTTAAACTGTCACTACACTGTTATACCCTGGAGTCGGTTATCAATGTTACCTAAACCAGGTCAAACGATCAAGTTGTCGATGTAATATACTTAGCACCGTAACCTCATACATTTGTCTGGACATCAACACGAAGAATGTCTCTCCAGTATGCCTAATTTTCTTCATCTTGAGAGAAAAGAAACTCGGAACATCCTCCCCAATCCGAACGCCTCATTGCTATACGATCGCAGTTCTATCTGAGCATGGTCAATACTTCATCTTGGGCGAGTTGGTGAATTATGCCAGCACTTCACAGCGTACAAACACAACGCACTATGAAGAATACATACACATAAAGAAATTACACTCTCGCGGCGCTTACGGTCAACTCTGGTATATATTGAACATCCTCTTCGTTATAGTTTACTCTTACGCACAAAAAAAAAATTAAACATGTTTTTATTAGTGGGTAAGAGGAAAAGATAACGAAGATGATATTCAATATATACTGTGGGCGGTTTCATTTGGATTCAGGCAACGAGTGGCAGTCGTACTTTTTATTTTGCTTCTAATTTTCATATTTCGTGGCGCATGTTCCAAGAATAACAATCCTTTTTACCTTTATGTCCAGACATGCTTAGTTTCTGAGAAAAAACATCCCAAAGAAGCGGGAAAGAACGACGAGGTTTTGACGATTCGTATTTGGATCACTCCCAATCTCAAAGTATTCAAAAGAGAGCGTCTATATTTTTTTTGTGTGATATATATGCAAGTAGGTAAGACGACATTATAACTACTATTTATTATTCGTCGCTTCCAGCTTTGTAAAAATCCCAAAACATGCCTCCGCGAACAACTGTGACCTAAATTGCTGATTTTTTTTTGAGTCCACTATGTTTAGTATCGCTTTTAAAATAATACCACATGTAGAACCTCTCATTACCTTTCATATTAAGCGAAGTTTGTGTTTTTATCATGTACGAGTACTGAGAAATGAATTATGAAAGAGAGAGGGTTTTCACTTTTCGATCAATTTCAGCACGCTGTATAAAAAAAAAAATAATATTGTTTGTTTTTCTCGCGTCGCGTTCTCTTCACACTCTTATTTTAGCCAGAATACATTCCGTTAGAAGTATTTGCATTGGTTTTGAGTTTTAAGCCTCTAAATATGCTAAAAAAGAGCAAATGCCGATGGTGGGATTTGACGATTTTCGTGCGTGGCGTTTTTGAACCACTCTCATTCTCAAAGTATTCAAAAGAGAGCTTTGATATGTTTTTATTGTGATATATATGCAAGTCGATAAAACGACATTCCAACTAGTATTTATTATTCGTCGAACCAATCTTTGTAAAAATTCCCAAACATGCCTCCGCGAACAATTGTGACCTAAACTGCGGATTGTTTTGTTAGTCGACTGTTTTGTTTTTAAAATAATACTACGTGTAGAACCTTTCATTGCCTTCCGCATTGGTAAAGTTTGTGCCTTAATCACGTACGAGTACTGAAAAATAAATTATGAAACAGAGAAGGTTTTCACTTTTTGTTCAATTTCAGCTCGCTGTAAAAAAAAAATTTAAAAATCTTTTTTTATATTCTTTTGCCTCGCGTTTTTTTACCTTCTTTTAGCCAGCATACATTCTATGCACTAGTTTTGAGTTTGAAGCCTCTAAATATGCTAAAAAAAAGCCAATGCTGATGGGGTTTTATGGGTTATAGCTGTATATGTTATTCTTTAATATAATAATCTAAGGGCCGTTAAATAAATACTCATATAAAAGACATGAATGTCGTTAGGCGTATAATAACAAGTTTGCAATTCCAAACGTCTAAACACTATAAAATCGCAACTGCCGAAAGCTGGTTTTAAGACAATTTCCGCCGGTGCAATGATGAGAGGGGCCTCAAACCTAAACCCTATGCGCTCATAATCTAGACTACGTTGGAAATATCAAAGTATAATATTCTAAAACATTAGAGTAAAATACACTTTTTATTAGAAACTTATATTTTTAAATGCAAATTTTATATTTCTAATGCAAAATTCATGTTGATAACAGAACCGAATCATTTTTTAGCATAATCAGGGGCTTGAAACTCAAAACCAGTGCATATACCTCTAACGGAATGTATTCTGGGTAAAAGAAAACTGTAAAGAAAACGCGAAGCAAAAAAAAATAAAGGAAAAATATTTTTTTTATACACTGTACTGAAATTGGACGAAAAGTGAAAACCTTCTTTGTTTTATAATTTATTTCTCTTTTTTTTCGTACGTGATTAAGACAAAAACTTTACATAATGTGGAATGCAATGAAAGGTTCTACATGTGGTATTATGTTTCAACAAAACTAAACATAGTTGACTAACAAAAAAATCCCCAGTTTAGGTCACAGTTGTTCGCGGAGGCATGTTTGGGGATTTTTACATAGATTGGATCGACAATTAATAAATAGTAGTCGGAATGTCGCTTTACCGACTTGCATATATATCACAATAAAACATAAATAGAGAAGCTCTCTTTTGAATACTTTGAGATTGAGAGTGGTTCAAAAACACCACACACGAAAATCGTGAAGACCCACCATCGGCATTTGCTCTTTTTTAGCATATTTAGAGGGTTAAAACTCAAAACAGAGTCAAATACCTCTAACGCAAATGTATACTGGCTAAAAGAAGGGTGCGAAGAGAACGTGACGCGAGAAAAAAAAATAAAAATGTTTTTTTTTTATATATATACAGCGTGCTGAAATTAAACGAAAAGTGAAAACACTCTCTGTTACAGATTTCATTTCTCAGTACTCGTACATGATAAAAACACAAACTTTGCTTAATTTGGAACGCAATGAAAGGTTCTACACGTGGCATTATTTCAAAAGCGATCCTAAGCATAGAAGACTCAAAACAAAATCCGCAATTTAGGTCAGAGTTGTTCGCGGAAGCATGTTTGGGGATAATTACAAAGATTGGAGCGACGAATAATAAACAGTAGTTTTAATGTCGTCTTACCTACTTGCATATATATCACTCTAAAAAAATATAGACGCTCTTTTTTGAACACTTTGAGATTGAGAGTAATTCAAAAAACGCCACACACGACAATCGTCGAAACCTCGTCGTTCTTTCCCGCTTTTTTTTAGGTCTTTTTTTCTCAGAAACTAAACATGGCAGGACATTAAAATAAAAAGGATTGTTATTCCTGGAACATGCTCCACGAAATATAAAAATTAGAATCAAAATAAAAAATACGGCTGCCACTCGTTGCCTGAATCCAAATGAAACCGCCCACCAGAGATGACAGTCAGCGCTGCGTCAGCGTTATTTCTTTGTGTGTATTTATTTTTCATAGTGTGTTATGTTTGTGCGCTGTGAAGTGACAGCTCTATCTGAGCACTTTAGATGGTAGCGTTCTCTTCAAGTGCGAAGCAAGGTGCTGGCTTGCGTGCAACGATTTGAGCTTTAATAATTCAGGTCGTCATCAGTGTGCATTTTGGTTTCTTTCTAGACGTGTTCACGTAATAAAAAAAAAAATATTTTTTTTTCTTAGTTGACGTCTTATGGAAAAGAAGGCGGATGATTTAAACCAACGCTTTTAATATTCTTATAGCAGTCAGTGTCTTACAAAATCAGCCTGCAGGTGCAGACTGTCCAAACTGCTTTTACTTCAGCCGAGACTATACTCCGTTTCACCTTATGTTGTACCACAGCGAAGGCTAGAAGCGCGAGCTCATAGCGTTGGCAGCTGCCCTTGGTGCACGAGAGCTTATGCCACCGAGGTGTGCCATAGAACAAGGAGCTCGCGCTTGTAGCCTTTCCTGCAATACAACACAAGGGGAAACAGAGTACATTGTGCCTCAACATCCTCCTGTTTATGGTATGTTTAGTGTGATGCCACCCTTTGTAGTACCCTATGCGGACAGCACGCGCTCACTGGGAAAATACGAAGAAATCGTAAAAAAAAAAAAAAGGTCGCCGTAGAACAGTTAGCGCCACGAGCAACGTTACTACGTTGGCCACGAACGCATTCAGGGACACGCTCTTTCCCGCGCTTCATAAAAAAAAAGGAAAAATTGTTCAAACAAAATGGCCAGATGTCAGAACCCTAAACACGGCGCACATGAAGGCAGCCTAGCCGCGACAGGCGCCGCAGCACGTACAAAAAATCACCTCAAAATGCTCTTTAAACAGATGGGGTTTCTGTGAGGTTCGCCTTTTAATAAAAAAGTGCTTTTTGTCGTAAACTTTTCAAACTGAGTCTCAAGTCTGGTACTTTGTTAAATGTGCTCCGAGCCAGAGAAAGGTCATCGAGACCCCAAAGAAATGTACTATGGCACTAACTAGATTGACAAGTGCTGATTGTTGGGCAAGTTGGTATGGTACGTTATCTAACGCACTAACTAGAGCCTTGGAGTAAAACCACGACCTAATAGAGGCCACTAGTATTTCCAAGTTTCCTCCAAGTTAGGGATTTCTCTGGCGTTCTGCCTGTGCTTACTCTTGCGCTTGTTTCTGGTGTTTTCAGGTTGAATCATTTTGTCCTAGCAAGCCGTGTAAACATGTGCACCGCAAGACGAGTCCCATCAACTCAAGATATCGATGGCCAACTCTGCTGCCTCTATTACAGCCCGACCCTTTACCGGCAAGTCCCAAACTTCGAACCGCAAGACGGCGATATTATTCAGGTAATATTTTTTTATCTGTCACCAAATTTTAATTGAGCTAACTTTTTGTTTAGGGGTCATAAGCCTGCTAACTGTTCTTAATCATAAGTAACCCCGTGCCTTTTTCATGAACCTGCCTATAGCCTTCATAGATCATTTACGTAGATGTCGACTGTCGCCAAGGTCATGTACAATTTTTTCGAGAGATATATCTCGGCAGTGCTTCTTGCGTCAATAACATTTGCGCCGAAATCATGTATTTCTAATCATTGCATGTGCTACTATACACAATATAATGTTGTTTTCTAAGCCACCACTCGCCACTGATTTATTTGCTATCGAAGAATCAAAGCTGAAGAGTATCAATATGTCGGGTAGATGTCATGATGAAATTAGGTTATAAATTTCCAGGTTGTTTTCCGAGGAATGGCAAAGCAGTAAACTCGGCTGATGCATGTGACGAACCATGCAGTTTTATCTTATACTATATTTTTGTTCAAGATTGCGCTCAAGTATATTGACATATTGCCTCTCCAAGCTCAAGAAAACAAGGACTGTCAGCGAAGCCGAGCTTAGTGATAGTACCAGAGTAATTATAATTAGAGCATACATTTTTCTCCTTCAAAAAACTTCTCCCGAGCCTCGAAGGCAGAGTTCTTAAAATTGAAATTGAACGCAATTATAGCCAGGGGCGTAGCCGGGAGGGGGGGGGGGGGGGGGGGGGGGGGGGAATGTATGTTCCTGGGTAAGTCCACGCTCCGAAACATTTTGCTTTCCCCTCTCCCCCCCCCCCCCTCCCGACCCCCTATTACACACCCCACTCTGCAATCACCCCTTTTTGTTTTACGGCGCTTGATTTTTCTTTCTTGGCTCGACGCGTCATCAAGATATGGAATTAGAAATTACGATAATTGGCCCCTTTCGCTTGTCAGAATAGGAATAGGAATGAGCGCACAAAAAGGCATCCAGGTAGGGTTGTGCGAATAGTGGATTTTGATTTCGAATCGAATTCGAAGCGAATAGTGATTTTGGCCGAATATTTTCGAATCGAACATCGAATACTTGCTGTTCAAAAATCTTGGCCGCAAAGTGGCATGCAAGATAATTTTTGCAGACATGCAATTATTAAGTGGGCTGGTTTGTGAAAATGAGACCTTAATTAATTTCTGTTTGAGTTATTTGTTGGAATACAGGGCGCCAAAATTGGCAAAGATGGCGGAGGCGTTGCTGAGCTCATTGATCGGTTTCTTTTGCCTGTTTTTTTAAACAAAGCTGATTAAATGACTACAATGAATATATTTAAGAGTTCCCACGATAATATTTGTACCGTTTTGCCGAACGTGTGAGTATATTTTTGATCTTAGAAATTGTTCCTTAAGTAGTTTTAGACAGTAAACAAACATGCGACTCGAGGTTGCCAACACTTCGAAAAGCACGAATATTACAACTGCTCTTGAATCGAATATCGAATAGCGTAATATTCGAAACTACTATTCGAAAATTCGAATATTCGCACAACACTACATCCAGGTACGTAAAAATTATCCCGGCCATTATTCTCGCAGGTCGGAAGAAGAAACGAATGTCTTCCATGGACAAAGAGAAGCGCCAGATATGTTGTGGTTCCTGAGCAGGGGAAGAAACGCTTGAACCTTGAGCATTCGCTGAACTCGACTGAACTAGTACCAGAGTCCCCTTGCTCTTGCGCGCTTGCTAAAGCAGGTTCTCAGCTAGGGACGCACGCATGCTCGTGAGTGAAGTCCAGGGCTGGAGGTAAAGGAGATCTTTCTCCGAAGGAACCTAAGATGACAGCGCAACAGGAGCTACGCTCTCGGGAGACCAACCGACCGCTTCTCTTTCATCGCCTGACCCCTCTCTACATACAAAATATGAAAGTATAAAACAGCGAGGACGAGGACGGGAACAGGACATCTTTCATTTAGCAACAACATACTGGGTGGTTCAAAGGAAGGCCAGGCTCTTTAAATCGACCGAAAAATTCGGTTTCTTAACCTATCGCGCTACGACTTTGTGCAGCGTTGTTCACAGATGGTGCTTTTTTTTTTTTTTGTAAACTTTGCTAAGAGCGGACTTACCTGAAGAAGAAGTAAAGAAAGAAAAAGGCTTAGCTTCTATGGAAACGCAGCGACGCCACCGGTTTTCAAACAACACGGCGCCGTTTCGCACGGGAGACAAGAGATGGCGCAACGAACGCCGCCAACGAACGAGCATACGGCGCCGAGAGCCAGCGTCTTTAGCAGACAATCTTTTCGACTCAAAAGCGGCGCGGCGACAGCCGCATAAAAAAAGGCGCGGTAACAAGGAACTGTAGCGCTCCTTGTCTGCTTAAGTCGCCGGTTCTCGGCGTCGTATGTTCCTTCGTTGGCGGCAGTTGGCGTCGCGACCGCCGTGTTGTTTGAAGACCGGTGGCGTCGCTGCGTTTCCATAGGAGCTAAGCCTTTTTCTTTCTTTACTTTTTGCTCAGGTAAGTTCGCTCTTTGCAAATTCTACAAACAAAAAGCACCATCTGTAGGCAACGCTGCACAAAACCGAATTTTGCGGTCGATTTAAAGAGCCTGGCCTACCCTTTAATCACCCTGTAGAATGGCACAACGATAAAACCGCCCCCAAGGGTCTCAACGGTCTCAAAGAAAGTAAGGAGATAATATTTATAAAGGAAAGGAAATTCACTAAATATAAAAGTTCGAAAAGCGCTGGCGTCACGAAGAGGTATCACTAATCTAGTTATCTCTAATTACTTAGAATTCGACCTTTGTCATTGTCAATGATAATGAAGGTGTAGAATTATTGTTGTTTGCAGTCCAAAAGGGTAAATGTCCTTTAAATATGAGAGTTTAAAAAGCTGTAGCGTCACGACGAGGTGTCAGTAGTCTAGTCGTCTCTGGTGTTAGGAATTCGCCCTCTGTTTTTGTCAATGATATTGGAGGTGCAGAAATGTTGTTGTTTACAGTCCCCATGGCAAATGATTCAATGATTTTTCTCCCAAATCTGTTGTTGCGCCCGCCCAGTATTTTAGTATCAGAAAAATGAGGACTACAGTCGTCGCATGTGCGGCTGTGAATGACAATGGGGTGATACGACTCATTTGAAACCTTTGATGCTTCCAAGTTGTGTTCTCTGAGCCGATGGTTCACGCATCTCCAAGTCTGTCCAATGTACTGCCTGCCACAGCTTAGTGAGATTGAATAAACCTTTCTTTCTTCGCATTCTACCAACTTTTTGGCATGCTTTACATAGCACCCTCTGGGACTGTCGCTCCCATTAACCTTTTTGCACATCTGTTTGAGGCGCATACGATAAGAAAAACACCACACTCGTGTCGAACTTGGACGCGATAGAAGTTAAACGGTGCGCGGAATTGTGTGTAGGAAATCACAGCGAAACGACCTTTCTTTTTGGAAACAGTTTGCGGAAGTTGTGGTTTGATAAGGAACCTCTCAAGGGTGGAACGAAGTAGGTCATCAGGAAAGCCTGCTTTTCCTAACCTCTGCTGCTGCAACTTGAGGCTACTCTCGGACAAATGCGTGCACGACTTGGAGAATGAGGACTTGAAAAGTGACCTTACTATGCCATGCTTAACTGACTCGGAGTGAGCACTGTTGAAAGGGAGGACTGGCTTCTCTGACCTCTACTGGAAGGCCCAGTAAACACCTGAGGAATGAGGATGCGATCGTAAATCCACGAATTGTAATCCTTCCACTGAAGGATTTTCCCGGGTAAAAGTTAGTCCCACCGCACAGTTTCTGAAAACTTCAAAGATGCTGTCAGCGGGCACAGCGTCTGGATAAATGACCAAGTAATCATCAACATACCTAAAAACTAGACGACCCTCGAAGGACTTTTCCAACTGATCGTTGATAGCCCTGTCAACAAAAAGAAGAAATATTTCACTAAGGACAGGTACAAGGCAAGAGCCTATACAAACTCCCTTCTTTGTCTGTAACTATTTCCTTCGTATTCTACCAAAGTGGGCTGTGAATAAGGATCTATCAGGTCGATGAAGCCCTCAACCGAAACACCGGAGGAATTTTGAAAGTCGCAAATTCCGTGTTCATGGATTGCATCAGTCACAGAATCTAAGATGAGTTTTGGTTCTAGGCTGTAATATATATCCTCAATCTCGAAAGACATAGCTTAGTGCGGAATGGAACAAAAATGAAGCGAATCGAAGCGGGGGATCAATTCGAGAGTTTTGGACTTTGAAAGGCTGAGGAAGGATGATATTAGACAAATGTCTTTGTAGATAACGACCCAGAGGCTTTTGCCAACAGCCAATTTCTGAAATGATGCTCCTGAAGGGAACTCCATACTTGTGAGTCTTTGCGGTAAAGAACACAGAAAAATACTCTATGGCAGGACTACCAATGACGTTCTTGAGACAGGTCAGGTTCAAGGAAGAACAAGGTTCCTTTGCCCTCGAGCGCAGTCTACCCGAAGGCCTAGTTTTTAAGGGCTCAAAATTCTTTGACAAGGCATCAAGACCTTATCATTAAAAGCACTTCCCTCCAAAATTACAACAGCATTCGGCACTATTGTGCCTGGTGCTGTTGTGGCTGCAACCAGGGTCGCAAGACGTGAAACCCACCAAAACGGGGGAGCAAAAGTAAAACAGTTCGACGGAGCAACACTTCTAACGAAGCGTCCGTGCGGGCTGGCCGTCAGCTAAATTTTCACGGCATCTCCGCCCGCGACCGCACCAGCCCCGCTGCGCAGGGACTAAAAGTTCCACGATACATCACGGCAGCGGCCGCTTAGCAAAACTTGATGGTGAAATCGGTCTTTTCAGTACATTCGTTCACGCCAAATACGCAAAAACATTCCTCGAGTGAAAAGCATTTCTAGAATCATCTCTTAGTTGCCGCAATCGTGCCAGTGTGTTCTTTCGTCGTAAGAGATCACAAGAAATGTGCGTAAGCAAACGCAAGTGTGTGAACAGGCATTATATCTCTAATACTGTTTTTTTTTTGTTTTCTTTTTCAGGTTTCGTATCCGAGATCCGGGACACACTGGGTTCAGCAGATCATCCAGCTAATTTTATCTAGGGGAGAGTCGGTAAAAACCTTCGTGGAATTCATGGAGAGGGCACCTTTCCTCGAAGTCCAAGAACTGAAGGAAACTCAATCATTTCCCCGACTTCTAAGGACCCACTTCCCCATGAACCAACTTTGGATCAGCGAGAAGGCCAAATACATCTACGTGGCTCGCAACCCTTGGGACACTTGCGTCTCGTGCTACCATCTGATTCGTGACTGTCCACCATGCAAATTCGCGGATGGAACCTTTGACGACTTTTTAGACGCCTTTATAGACGCGCAGGTGGGCTTCGGTGACTACTTTGATCACGTAATCTCAGGCTACGACCACAGAAGGGATCGGAACGTGTTTTTCGTCACGTACGAGGACCTCCAAAGAAACAAAGCGGAGGTTGTTCTCAGACTGGCCTACTTTTTGGGCGAAGACAACGGAAAAGCGCTGGAAGAAAACGATGACGTGTTTCAGCGAGTTTTAGACAGAAGTACCGTAGGTTTCATGAAGGACATCTTGAGGACGAATCCTAAGGAAGGCCTCAAGGTCCTTGCAAAGAACTCGCCACATCTCCAGCCTGCCACTGTCATTGAAAACCAGAAGTCTTGCGGGACGAGCGACGTTCACATCATCCGAAAAGGTATCGTTGGAGATTGGAAACAGCACTTCACTCCCGAAAACTTGGAGAAAATGCGGGCTACCATCATCCAGCGGACTAAGGGATCGGATGTAATGGATCTTTGGAAACATGACTGATGATCCAAGGTCTTTGGGACAAACGAAGCCCTTCCGAGAGCACTAACACGATAGCCCCGTTTTCAAATCATGAAATAATATTTTAAGGAAACTGCCTAATCCCAAATATTTGTGCGTCTGTCCGTGTATTTCCCCGCTGAATTTATTGGGGAGATTGACACCATGTGATACCGCGACTAGGCATTATCACATCACGGGACCACGTAGGATGAAGTTACGTCACTCGGTCGTGTCTTCATTGTCCTGGCTTTGTTCGCGCTTTTTAAACCATTTAATAGAACGATCTCACTAAGCGTTCGGCGCATGCGTGACGCCGCCATAACGTAGTTCACAACAGGCAGGAGGCCGTGCATGCCAGGGCTCGTGCCCTCTCGTGCTCCACACGCGCAGAGCTCCAGCGGGCTTGTCGCACGTACAGGAACACTAAAGTGTCCGATGCATTGCGACAGCGGTGGCTTGGTCAAACTGGCTGGTAAAATCGGCCTATTATACTTTGTTTCACCTTATGTTGTACCGCAGCGAAGACTAGAAGCGCGAGCTCATAGCGTTGGCAGCTGCCCTTAATGCGAGAGAGCTTGTGACGCCGAGATGTGCCCCATGCAGAGCAAGGAGCTCGCGCTTGCAGCTTTTCCTCCGGTACATCAAAAGGTGAAATAGAGTGTACCACGGGACCAAAAATTGGGTTGTGTGTATGTTTATACAGCCTAGAACTTGGTCTGCCTCCAAGGGCGACGAGTCTCCCAGCTGTAGATGAGCAATTTAGCCAGTGCGGTACAACCGCTAGCCTGGGGTCTTTATTGTGCATCACCCAGTAGTCATATACGACCGCACGCCGGTACGACGCTCATCCAGATCGAAACGGGTAGGGGCGGGGATTGAACCCAGTATCCAGGGTTCTGCAGCGCGAGCTTTCGCTGTACGTGCTCCGAGCTGGTGTGCGCTAGACCACTCGAACACCGATCCTTCTTTTTTCTTTTTTAACAGCAAGTTTATTGAGCGTTCGGAAACTTATTTCGAACAAAACCAGACAGCCGACACGCCGGCTGTTTTTCCGTTAGAATATGAGCAGCCTGAACGTTATATCTTTATACGCTAACATTTCACATACACTATTTCTGGAGAGGTTTTTTGATTAAGTCGGACTGCTCCTTGTCCTCTGAAAATCTTTTTGCCGCAACACTGAGAGTCCACCTCAACTTGGCCGCAAAATACCACCATGTTCGCTTGGCATGGATGTCGCACTCGAGATATGCCATTCGGGATCGCCAAATCGCGTGCAGTCCGAGCACCACTAAAACACGCAGCACAATTGGAGAGTGCTCCTCGCTCTCAAGACACAACCATTTGAACACGTTCCAGACAATTTCAAACTCTACAGTAAAGAGGCACTTCAGTTCCGCCCAAAAAAGGTAAGCGTTGCTACCAGGGTTGTAAAAGTTACTTAAAAAGTGTACCTAAGATACAGTTACAGTTACTCATACGAAAAGGAACTTAGGTACGCACCTAGGTACTTGCTTAAAGATGTATCTAGGTAGAGGTACAGTTACTTTAAAGATACTGTCTTTACCTATTTGTTTGTCCAAATTTGTCAAAATATATTGGAAGTAGAGCTTTTTATACTTAGGATACACTCAAAAACGAGTTCGATAAGTGTGCTTTATTGGTGTCAATGCGATGTCCACATCGGTGTTGAGTCCTCACGTGCCTTGTCCTCACGCTCTAATTGGCTCACCGGGGCCACGGCTTCCACTGCTTACCATGTCACACCGAAACCGCCGAAACTCGCTTATTGACGTTCTTGCCCTCAGAGCCGGTGCTGACGCCGACGGGCCCAGAAGACGTCGGCCGCATGAAGAAACGCATGAGTCGACTGCGTATGCACCTAACTTTCGCGACGACGAGCGAAAGGCTTTAGGCTTCCTCGTTTATTTTTTTTTCTTTCGTTAGTCAAAGGAAGAATGAGTTTTTTTGTTTTTTTTTGGGAACTTTCTTAGTTTTGATAACTGCAAAATTTGAGACTGATTTATTGAGTGGAAACTGTATTATATACGCAATGATACATTGCTTTATGATTGTAATTATAATTTATTTGCAATTATATTTTATATTGTATTTATGGCAGAACAGTTCCACCACCAGGACAAGATACGTGCAACAGAAACTGCGCACATCGTTCAGGCTAACTCCTTCCAAACACGCAATGAAGTCGATTTCAGTTTGAGATGAAGGAAGCAGGTCGCTATTTTCTCTGGATTTCCGAAGCGATTAAATAAATTGGTGTCGCTAGAACGGCATCGCTAATCCACCGTTCGCTCAAATGAGCACCTACATTCACTAAAGTGTGTCGTTCAATGAAACATCATAGGTCGTTCGCTATAACGTCGTTCCATCAAGTCAGTGCCTCCAATGCCGCATCCAACTCAATGTTAATCACGGCACGTGGTAGTGTGTTAATAGTTCAAGATTTATAGTTTCAACCATTTTGACGAAGGGAGTAGAAAAGTACTTGTAAGGAGTAACTTCATTTAGCTACAAGTTACTGGAAAATGTACCTAAGATAAAAATACAAATACCGAGAAATTAAAGTACCTAGGTTTGTACCTCAGGTAGAACAAAAGTACATAGATACCGAATTCCAGTTACTTGTACCTAGGTACTTTACAACCCTGGTTGCTACACTCCACAAACAGATGATGTAAGGTTTCAGTCGCCCCGCACAAAGCGCAGTTTAACAACCACAGAACAAAGAATCCTTTCTTATCAAGCCACACTTTCACAGGGAGAGCTTCAACATGAAAACGAACAAAGAAATCTTTGCTGCTTTTAGGCACAGGCAGCTTTCTCTGCTGCTTAAAGACATCGTATGAGTTGGGAGCGTTGACGCGCTGTCGGTACAATGGCACTGGCAAAACCGCTAAGACAGTGTCCCAGTAAAGTGTCTTCCGTTTCACTGTCAAAAGATACTCCCAAGAGAAGTGAACCAAGAAGAACCTGATTGAGTCAGCAACTTCCTTGTAATATCTGAGATGCCTCGACGTGGTCGCCCGACTCGTGGTGCTCACCATCCATTGTTGCAGGTTTTCATATCCTAAGCAGAGGAATGCGGTCGTAAAAATTGGATCTGTTTGATCTCTAAAGAATAGAAAGCGCTGCACATAAAGTTTGAGGGTCACATTCACGAGCCCGAAGCCACTACTTTCAAGACTCTAAAACAGGTTGCTCCTTCGCATCTTTTTCATTCGCGATTGCCAAATGAACGTGACCCAATGTCTGTGGATGGCGTTCACTGTGCCTGCGCCGCAACAAACCACTCGCGCCACATACAGGATCGCAGGGTATGACACCGCGTTGCAGACATAGCTTTTGGAGAACATTGACAAACGTCTTGCTGTGCAGGAAGAAAGTTTTACTGGGATGGGTCGCCAGTTTCTGCTTCCACTGTTGTGACGTAGGTACTGACAGATCCGTGGGCACGCCGAGGTACTTTCCCACGCCTCTAGACCATTTGACGCCCATGAACTCCGATGGCTTTGTGGCCTACTCTCCGAGCCAGCTCCCTTTCGACTTGTTCTTGTTGAGTCTTGCTCCGGAACACCGACCGTAGCTTTCTAGTTCATCTAAGACTGTTTGATTTCTAGCTTTGAAAAGCATATAAAAGAAACATCGTCTACGAACGCCAGAAGTTTTACACATGCTTTCTCCAGGTTGAGGCCGCAGATTGACTTGTTGCGCTGCACCTTGAGGCTCAGTGGCTCCAGCTGTAGAGCGAACAAGATCGGTGACATGGTTCAGCCTTGCCGGACAGAACGCTGAACCCAAACTGGCTTTCCTTTCTTCCCATTTATTAAAATCCGCGTGGTGATGCTTTTGTAGCACAGCGCTATCGAATCTCTCATCACTTCGCCCACCCCACATCGGTCCAAAACCTTCATGAGAAACTCGTGGGACACTCGATCAAACGCTTGACTGAGATCCGTCTGCAGCACCGCTAATGGTTGATGGCCTTCGGCTGTCGCTTCACAGACAAATCGCATGACGTGAAGGTTGCGATAAATGGACCGTCCTTTCAAGTCATAGGTTTGGTGCTCTTCGATGACGTTTTTCAGTCCAATGTCCAGACGCCGTGCCAATATTTTCGCCAGTATCTTGTAGTCTGTGCTTAACAAACTTATAGGACGGAAGTTTGTTACTTCGGGAATTTTTCCGCAGGTTGGTACTTTTGGAATCAAAACAGTGAACCTCTCTTTCATCGACGGGGGAAGTAGCTGTCTTTATTGTATGTCTTGAAACACTGTCAGCAGAATGGGACATAGAAGGATTATAAACATCTTATAAAACTCAGAGCCTATTCCGTCTGGACCCGGGGCCTTGTTTGCTGGCAGATTCTTGATTGCCCAGTTGACTTCTGCTGTACTGATCGGTTGATCTATGCGGCCCTTATGCTCCTCTGACACTTGCGGCAGATCGCTGAGAAAACTATCGGTCATGTTATTATCGATACCTTCTCTTCGAAATAACTCACTGTAAACGGCTGCAAACATCTTTGCAACTTCTGTTTGTCCTTCCGCATGAAATCACCGTTTCTTACTTTCAGATTTGTATTTTTCCCCTCTTGTTCTATCCAGCATTGCGAAAATGTTTGTCGGCACCTCTTCTTCGTTTAATGGGATACTGAAGCGAAACTTGAAATAGACCTATTGTGGTCAGAAATAGGTTTAATATGATCAATGATATCCGTAAATCATAATCGCGCGTTCGTATTTTGAACGGATGGCTATATTTTTCACCCAAAAGATCCCCAGGTGGTCGAAATTAATCCTCAGTCCTCCGCTGGGGCGTGCTAGATGCCCGTTCTTAGGTTTGGCACGTAAACCCCCAAATTTGACTTTTGACCCTGAGGGACCTGATTGGGCGCGTGCTCAAAAATCAGCCATCGGAGAGCGCGATGCGTCTTGGGATATTGGGCGCATTCGCGACGTCACTTGTGCCAGACGGGAAAG